GCTTATTTCTGGCGGCCCTGTTCACACCGGAGTCTCGTCCCACATGAGTACCAGAAACGCAGTTAGAACTTTCCTGCTAGTGCCAGCTTTGTATCCAAACCTCTTTTGGGCCAACGAAACAGAGTGAGGGTTAGGAATGCCCCAGCTTGACCGAGAAGGATGCTGCCACCTGCCTACCCCAAGCTAGGTCCGTTTTTATTTTGAGATAAATTTGAAACATTGATTGTAAAGCCAATTAAAAATGTAGGATCAACTGCCTTAAGGGTTTTGTTCAGGATCAGGAGCATGAGCTCTGACTCTTACAGACCCCCTTCTAGAAGGTTTCAGGGCTTCTCTGCTCAGACACACTTCCCCAATGTTGGCATGGCCTCCTTGACACGTACACATCTGAGCTTGCAGACCAAGCCTGTGGACCCGACCGTGGACGGTGGCGCGCAGGTGCAGCAGGTCGTCAACATAGAGTGTGTGTCTGACTTCACGGAGGCGCCCATCCTCAACATCCAGTTCCGGTAAGGACCCGTGGGCCGGACCAGCAGCCGCTCTTGCCTGGAGCTGCGGGGGGGGCGGGGAGGGCGGGCATCATATGCGCCGTGCCTGGGCGCAGCCTCGTCCCCGGGAGCCCTTCGTCCTCATTGAGCCTTAGCGTCCTTCCCTTCAGAGGGCATCGTGAGGGTCGAGTGGGGAGCCCTGGCAAACGCTGGTACCTGCGGGCACGTGGCACTGTAGGTGCGGCGTCTGGGAAACGCGAGGCCGCTCTGCCCCAGCGCTGAGGCTCTGAGGGGCCCACACTGCGGGGCTGGGGCCTACTGGGTCCGGGCGCCCCTGCGTGCTTGCTGCCCCGGACGGCAGCTGCAGGGGGCGGTCGAGGTGTGCATGATTGCCTAGTGCGCACCCCGAGCACACACACACCATTGTGATTCTTTTTAAAAGACCATGTTTTGTGTTGCTGCTTGGTTCACTGCTGTCCTTTTTCAGTGAGCGTGACAGGTCATATACAAACACCCAGTTCCCTGCAGGCATTTGTAGGGTTAGGGTTTTGGAAAAGGGGGGTTTCAAACATTGGAAACACAGAGAACTGAAGGCCATGTACCTTGTAGAATTTACGGAAACAGACATGCCGGTTTTTGTTTCATTCTGTAGGCAGCCACTTGCTCTAGTCTCTTCACGAAGGAAGGAAAATCCCCACACCATTTTTTTTTTAAATTTTTTAAATGTTTTATTTATTTCTAGGAGAGAGAGAGAGAGACAGCGTGAGCAGGGGAGGGTCAGAGAGAGAGGGAGTCACAGACTGAAACAGGCTCCAGGCTCTGAGCTGGCAGTCAGCACAGAGCCCGACGCGGGGCTCGAACCCACGAACCGCGAGATCATGACCCAAGCGGAAGTCGGACGCTTAACCGACTAAGCCACCCAGGCACCCCTATCCCTACACCATTTAAACCACCTTGGAGTTGTAGACTTGTAGGATGTGGACTGTGGGTGAAACGTGAGGAGATTGTGGGAAGTCATGCCCGGGGCCCGCCCTGACCTGGTCTCACCGGCCTGGCGGCGCCTGGACAGGGCGGCGCGCCCCTGACATGCGCACAGAAGCCCGGGCGGCGCGCTCAGCTTGTTGGCCCTCATCTGCAAATGCCGCTGCACCAGGTGTCTCTGGAGCTCAGTGTCACCCTTCCAGAATGCTCTACCCCACCCTGTTAGGGGACAGGCCCCATCAGCAGGCATTCCCTGTGCTCCATTGATTCACAGACTAGACATTTGGCCTTCTACTTGAGTTCCAGATTTTTTCAGTTGTGCGTTTACTTTGTTTACCACGTCTCTCTGTGTTGCCCCACAGGTATGGGGGGACTTTTCAGAATGTGTCCGTGAAGCTGCCTATCACACTCAACAAATTTTTCCAGCCCACAGAAATGGCTTCTCAGGATTTCTTTCAGCGTTGGAAGCAGTTGAGCAAGTGAGTGGGTGGGAGCAGGGGCGGGCACCCCCAGCTCTGAGCTGGCTCGGAGTGGTGACTCTTGTTTCTGCCTCACTAGTCCCCAACAGGAAGTGCAGAACATTTTCAAGGCAAAGCATCCAATGGACACAGAAATCACCAAAGCTAAGGTAAGGCCTGTTTGTGGGCGCTCCCAGGGTGGGGACACTGCCTAGCACTCTCTAGGGAGGCCGGTTGGGTCGCTGTCCTTCTCGTGGTGCCCGGCCTGCTGCCCGTGGCCCGTTGCCGCTGCCCTACGCTCCCGTCTCTGTTGCACAGATCATTGGGTTTGGTTCTGCACTCCTGGAAGAAGTTGATCCTAATCCTGCAAATTTTGTGGGGGCTGGCATCATCCACACCAAAACCACCCAGATTGGATGCTTGCTGCGTTTGGAGCCAAATCTGCAAGCCCAGGTTAGACTTCTCGAGGGAATTGCTAAGTCCGAGAAAATTGTGCTGTTCTTGTCATAAAACGTGTGCACAGTGAGGTCTGTTGGTCCTAAGTGTAGTAGTGAGTCGCAGGAGACATGCACACCTGTGTGCCCCTGCCACACTGACACGTGTAGCATCTTTATCACTCCAGAAAGGTCCCTGACCTCCCTTTGAGACCGTCGCTGCAGGGCCTGCCATCGTGCTGACCTGGCTCTGAGCTCCAGCAGTGATGTCCGTGTGGCCCTCCTGTGCCGGGCACCCCCAGCTGGCTTGCCTAGTCCTCTTGACGGACACCTGGGCTCTACTGGTTTGGAGCCATTTTGAGTAGAGCTGCTGTGTGCCTTTGTGCAGATGCTTGTTTTCACTTCACCTAGGGGCGCCCGGGTCGGACTGCAGGCAGCTGCCTGGGGTCTGTGCATGGGTGCCTTCACGAGGAGCTGCCACGTTGCTTTCTAGGGTGGCCGCCCAGTTTTGTACCCCACCGGGGCCTGCGAAGATGCCAGCTGCTCCACGCTGGCCTTTGCTGTCATCAAGCTTGTTTTGTTTTCGCTGCTGAAAGCACGCTTGCATAAGTCTCTGTGAAGCGGTGGGTGCCTCGGGGAGGGCTGAGCTGGTGAGCTCAGGTGGCTGTCCGCCGTCCCCGAGCTCTCTGCCGAGGGTGCCCGCTGACCTGCTGTGTTCTGTTACAGATGTACCGTCTCACGCTGCGCACAAGTAAAGAGACCGTCTCCCAGAGATTGTGTGAATTGCTGTCAGAACAGTTTTAATCAACGAGGACGGAGGATCAGGCTCCTGTGTGTGTCGGGTTTTCTTCATCCCTGTTGTGTATCCTCATGGCCCTGCTGCAAATAAACAGCCCAGTCGACAGGCGCCTCTCAGCCCTGCGTCTCGGACCGCACCCCTTTGGGTGGGGGTGGGGATGCCAGCTTGTGCATAAGAAAGCCCGCGCTGCGGCCAAGTCAGAAGGAAGAGCCCGAGTCAGAAGGGAGAGCGGGCCTGGGATTGGTGTCTGTGCAGGTCAGGATGGTGGTGTGGTTCAGCCCCTTGATTACAGGGAGGTTACCGGTGTGGAGGAAGGTGTAGATTTGTTTGGAATTGTATCGAAACGCCACTGCTTTCTGGCTGAGAGCTCACCTCTGATTGTCTGAGAGCAGCGGCGGCTGGATCTTAACTAGGCCGTCTGGCCATTTGGGGAGGTGATGCCCCGTGCAGGAGACGTGGCTGGGCCCGAGCGTGCCAGCGCAGCATCCGCAGCAGCAGCGGGGCCCACAGTCGAGAAGTTAGAAACCTTGGTGTTCAGCACAACTGCCAGCAAGACCATCTCCGGTGGCCGGGCTGAATTCCATGCGGCCAGCACCGCGGCTGAGAAGGGACATGTATGGTGCTGACTCTCTGGGGCCCCTGTGTCACAGCATGTTGGCAGCGGGGCTGCTGGCCGCTCTAGAGGGGTGTGGCCAGCCTCTCTGATCGTTGGGTTTCAGTTAAGTTCAGCACAGCCCTCGTGGCCTCGGACCGGTTCTTGCTTGTGATCAGAGAGTAAGTGTGGGCAGCAAAACAGATTCTGGAAGGGAAGCCAGTTTCTTTTCCTAGGGCGTGGGGACCTTGTGCCAGGGGGAAGGGTTCTGTGTGTGGTTGGGGAGCAGAGGGCTGTGCTCGGTGTGAGCAGGAGCTCGGCCTCCACAGTCTATTCCTGTCCTCGCCTCTCACATGTCCTTGGCTCTCACATATTGTCACTGTGTGCCAGCTGCCAGTCTGCACTTGAGGTGGCCAGGGCGGGGGCAGAGCTGAACAGGGGACTGTGTGTACCACATGGGTGGTGGGTGTTGGCTGGTGGTTTCGTCCTAAGCAAACACGTCTCCTGTCCGCACCTAGAGGGGCCCAGGGAGTGTCCTGGTCCTCTGTGGGGTCTCCTGGTTTATCCACAGGGACTGGCCTCCTCAGAGACAGGCTGTAGGGGAGTCACGTGGGGTGGTAAGGGACACAGGTGGCCCTTTGCTCTTGTGTGGGTCTCAGGGAGGTCCCTGGAGGGGGTCACCATCTGGGCGCTGGTGCCACTGCAACCACACATGCGCGGGGCCCCTGCACCCACCACTCTGCATGGGTGTGGCTTGGGGGCTCGCAACTGCCTAGGGTGTGTGGGAGGCAGCACGAGCAGAGCTCTCGGGCCGGTCCAAGTGCACTGACCGGTGCCGGCTCACGTGTGGGCAGTGGGATTGTCGTGCGTGGCGGATGTGGTCCCTTCCCCAGGGTGAGGTGCTGGCTGGCGCCGGGTCCACCCTCCCTTCCCTTCCCCAGTGGTGGGGTCGTTGCGGCCCCCTTCACTGCCGCCCGGTGCCTCTGCCCCGCCCGTCCCTGCTCATGTGCCCCCTCTCAGGCCTCCCCCTAGAGTGGCCTTCTCGCTGCCCCCACCCAGGCTGCTTCCCGGGCCCAGTTCCGGCAGGGGCGGGTGGCCACCATCAAAGGTCGGGGGCTGTGTGGATGACAGACAGGCGTGCTCAAGAGGCCACAGTTTATTCCAGTGCTGGGCTTGGTCAGGGTCCGCAGCCCTTTCTGGCAGTGCGCTTTCCTTCAGGCGCCCTGCCCAGCCGGGTGCGGGGGCTCTCTGACGCTGTGCCTTGTGGGAGCAGGGGGCTTCGGGACACAGCAAGCCAGCGTAGGGGGAGGTAGGGAGCGGGTGGTGTCGGGAGCGGTGCTTTGTCCTCACACCCAGGGGGCTGTGTCCCCTAGTCCCCACAGCTCCGGGTGCTGCACGCACAGCTGCTAAACATCTGCAGCGTGAGAACCAGCTGCTGTCCTTGCGCGTCGGGGTCTGAGCAGGGCAGCACCAACCGCTTCTCATAGGAGCTGAGAGGGTAGCAGCAGCCGCAGTGGGTGTCCACTTGCTCTGTGTGGACGTTGAAGCTACAAAGAAGCCACAGCGAGGAACGTGGGTCAGGGCCGTGGCCCCTGGAGTGCTCCTTCTTCTCCCAGACTGTTCCAGAGAGAAGGGCAGTGCAATCCCCCCTCCCCCCAGCTCCCAGGCAGTTGGAGAGGGTCTACCTTTGCCTAAGACAGGCAGTGATGTAGGTGGGGTACCGACCTGGCAGCCTGCGGGGCTAGCACGCTGCCTGGGGGCAGGAGCTTGCCTCGCTCTGGATTGGGCAGGCTCCAGGCCTGGGGCGAGCAGCTCACCTGGTCGAGGTGGCACAGAAGCCCTCACAGCGGGCCACTGTCACGTTGGCTGTGCACCCTTTGTATGTGATCTCCTGCTGAAGTTCCTTCACATCGCAGATCCCTGGGAGCCAGATAGGTGTGGTCAGACGCCAGCCCTAGGGCACGGCTGGAGGGCGGGCACATATCTGAACCCCCACCAGACAGGAGGACGGAGGAGTGAGGCTGATGAATGAGGCCCCCTCGAGTGAGGAGGGAGCAGGCTGCAAGCCTCAGAGCTGCCCACGGGATCAGGAGCCCTACCTGCCCGGAGTGCGCTCTCCCCCAGCCCTGCTCGGGGTGGGGTCTCCCCTGGGCCTTGCCCCTGTACTCTGGCCCCTGCCCCAGGCCATCTGCCTTGTTCCAGCCCCGCTGACCTCGGACCTCACAGCTTTGCATTGGAACAAAGGTTGATACTCTCTGATTTTGTGTGTTCCTTCTGGAAACGGCTATTTTGGAAGTACTCCAAGGTCACGGGTTTTCTGATTCCTGCTGAGTTATTCTCAGGCTCCTTCCCTCGTGGCCCAACACCGACCTGTCTCTGGTCAGCTGAGGCCAGAGCCTGTTAGGGGGAGCGGGGAGGACGTGACTATCCCTAGAGAGACGGGAGGCGTCTTCGGAGCTCCCTGCAGGGGGCTGTCCTCTGAGGGAGCAGGGTGTGGCCGCAGCGGACACACTGCTGGCGAGCTGCCTGTGCCCCGGCAGCAGGCGGAGCAGCACCGGCCGTAGGACCGGCCCCAGCGGAACTGGAGGGAAGATGGCCAGTGTGCAGAGTAGCCTACGACCCAGGAGAAAGGAGGCCTTACGGCGGAGAAAGGAAATCACACACCATGATGACCAGGGAGCTGCTGTCAGCAATGCGCAGGTAGGGCTGAGGCCAGCTGAGTGGAGAGCGAGGCCTGGGATTGAATAGCACAGCGCAGATGTCCGTAAGGAGTGAGAGACAAGAAGAGGCAGGGACCACTTAGGACAGACCCAGGTTTCTCTCGAGAGTGAGGAGGCTCAGCTGGAGGAGGCCAAGGTTGGAAGGTGGGCACTGAGATACTCCTTACCTGAGGACTCGGTTGGAGAGGTGACCAGAGAAGAGACAGAGGTGCCCCGGGTCGACAAGGAGCCTTCAGTATGCAAGGATGAGCTTCCGTGACCCAGGGTGGAACTGGGCAGGATCACTGTGGTCGCCTGCACAGTGGTACTAGACTGGCCAGAGGTGAGGTTGGTCACTGGAGAGCTGAGGATGGCTGTCGTTCCCATGGTGGACGACATGGGATGAGACGTGGGGATGTAGGAGGTGAGAGACGTAGACTGAGAGGTGGAAGACAGAGCTTGGGAGGGGAGGGGGCTGGGTGTGGTCCGGGGCGAAGAAGGAAAGACCGTGCTGCTGGATGAGGACAAAACAGAGACGTGGGGCGGAGGTGAGGTGGGCAGAGGGGAGACAGAAGACCTCAAGGCAGTGGAGGCAGGTGGGGAAGAAATGGATATGGTATTTGATATACTCGGGATGCCAGACGAAGCGACAGATTGAGAGACAAAAGGAGACGTCGTGGTGTGTGGAGATGGGAAGGACGAGCGGGTCGGCCTGCTGGTGGAGTGGGGAGGCTGGGGCTCCGGGCGGCTGGTGGTGGGGAGTCGGTGCGACGTGTGCGTCACCGAGGACGTGGTGGAGGGGGCAGGGTGCGTGGAGCTGGTGGTGAGCGGGCGCGAGGGGCTTGGCACCGCGGAGCTGGTGCGGAAGGACGTCCCCGTGGGGGGCCC